TGATCGAATTGAATGATAAATTTGTTCAAGTCAAAAATGATGGTCTCTGGTTTGTTGATGTAGGTTTTTCTTTGAATTTTGAAAAATCCTCACTAACATAAGAAGTGTTTCGGAAATCTTTTAAGATGCAAACTCTGGAAGTTTGTTTGGCACCATAGGCCCGCCGATGAGAGCAGCACAGTCGAATATTGACAGCTTTGGGAAAGCAGGAAATGCTGCTAATTTAGATACCCAGATAAGCCAGCCTGTATGTGCATTAGCTGTTGGCCTGTCAGAAGCCTACGTCAATTGTTAGGGCAGTCTTGGTATTCTTGATTTCCTGAATTTAAACTGAAACAAGTCATCCCACCCCCATTTCGCACTGATTGTCTGCCGTCTGTGTTTACAGCTCAGGGTTGAAGCACTGAGAGAGGTTACCAGGTCAGTGCAGATATAGGCTTGCTTATTTGGGAGATCTAAATGGCACTACTTCCACTGTATTTTTTCATTAATTGTCAAAATTCGATTGTGTTCCTCTCCATGATGTGCCAGTGACGCCAAACAAATTGCATATATTAAGATATAGACGCGATTTCAGGTCTCCGTCCTTTTTCAGTCTCCTAGCCAAGGATATTCACCGTTTGTATCTTTGAAATTTCTGAAACACTTGCTATTCTTGCTTTCCTGGATGTAAACTGAAACAGGTTATCAACGAATTTACGTGGTTTGTGAAAGCATGCATGTGTTGAAAAGAAAAATAAATAGCAAGCGCACCAGACTGGCTGGCGAGATCATGCGTTTTGTGCAATTCAGCCCATCGAACGATTGCCTATTAATTATTTTCACTGCTTTGTACTTCTGTCTATGCAAAAATAATTCAAAAATTGGGAAATAGTTGGAAATTTCACGCAGCAGCACATGAAAGCTGAATTGGAAACCTTGAAGGGTGAATATCTTTTCGTGATCCCCGAGTTAATAGTTTAGCCGCCAAAATTCTCACGAGGCGGCAGGTGATACCCAATAGCGAGGGGACGCTGAATTTGAATAGGCAAGGTTGAGCATGGGCAGGGGGTCATTACCCTAAAATTTCAGCCTCCTAGACTCCGTGGCTCCTGAGGTATTGATTTACCCGTAAAAAACTTTCACGGAGCCGTACGAATTACCCACAGGTACGGGAAGGCTGAATTTAAATTTGCCGCGTCACCCGCTGGCGAGAACCACTATACCAAAATTTCAGCCGCCTAGCTTTTGTGGTTCCCGAGTTGAAAGTGCGGGACAAAATATGGGACACACACACACACACACACAGACAACCCCGTGACAATATGCGTTTTGTAACGCAGTTACACAGCACAAAACGCATAATGAGTTAAAACTCCTTTTGTTTTCACGCTGGTTAAGGGTTAATTCAAGCAAAAAAAAAGTTGTGTACGCCCTATCATGCAGCAAAATCCATAGGGGGGTGTGCTTCCCATACGACAATGATTAAAAAATTTGCATATTCGAAAATTTGCGTATCTCAGCACACAAAGACATAAAATTTGCATAAATTATATACATATATCATCGTTTTTTTTCCCCGTTCAGTTCTATGCTCCGTGGTGTGCACATTGCAAACGTTTGATGCCTATATGGGAACATGTTGGGCATGCATTGGCCGATCGTCAATCTCCGGTTCGTGTAGCAAAACTCGATTGTACACGTTACGCCGGCACTGCATCTGCACTGAATATACGCGGCTATCCGACGATAATTTTGTGAGTTCTCACAGCAGTGCTCTCTTTTGCCTCCTTCTTGCCCATAATCGCCCCAAAAAGCCCCCATGTAGAGCTGTGATGATGAGGAGATGGAACTCCAAATGCGGCTACACCAGATCTTTCGATGATGTACTACATTTCTCTATTTTGCATATTTTAGGTAAGATAAAATGGATAAGAGCCAAATTTGGGGTATTTCTTCCCGGATTTTGGACTTATTGATAGATTGAGTACATTGCCGGATCGAGTGGGGGAGAGGGAGGGCGAGAGATCTTTCGCCCCCTCCCCCCTTCCCAGGGATACAGGTTGCAGCATCAAAAGTGAAGAAAAGCCTCACTTTCTTGTTCCTTTTTTCCTCCCCCTTCCTTCCCCGGTTGTTACCACTGGGAGCGATAACCGGGAGGGTGTGTAGCGGGACGACCGACGGGGGGGGGGAGGGGCAGCGGGGTGATCGAGGGAGGGAACAGCGGAGCGACCGGGGAGAAAAAAGAGTGAGGCAACCAGTGTGGTGAGAAGACCGCCCTGGATCAGCCTATGATTGAGCAACAGTTCTTATTACAGCTTCCGGCATGGTAAAGAATTGGTGTATGAAGGTGAGCGGAAAAAAGAGGCAATGGTTGATTTTGCTTTGAAAGCATCCGGGCCTGTGATTGGACTTATCGAAGATGTTCGGGAATTGTCACAGGTATCTTTTTCTTTAATTTTTAACCATTTACTTTTATCTCTATTTCTTTTGTTCTTGATCTCTTCTTGTGCAGCCAGCAATTTCTGGACTGTAACCGCTGAAATAGTTGCTGATTGCGATAGATTGAGATTTAAGATATGAATCACTAGCTGCTGCCGGGGTAATGTTTAGACAGTTCGTGTGGGGATCGGATGTTAGTGATGTTATTTGACACCTTCCTGCACGTGAGATCCGGCTTTACCAGACCCTTCAATTCTGAGCTCTACGCTTTCTCATTGTACCTACCACATCTTCACTGTATTTTCATATTAACAGTCACGCTTGAGTGGTCGTTTACTTTCTCCTGGATACCGCCTAAATGTGTGCAAATTCAGGCAAGTGTCATAGTGTACGATAATCTTTCGCCCATCGGATTTTACTTTTTTTGTTAGCTTCATCGATATGTGGGCTCAAATTCACCATTTGGACAATCAGCGTTTATTAGTTTTAATGGCAGATTGGCGCTGATACGTGCTATTGGCCTGTTTTAATGCAACCCTCGAAAGTGGGAGACCAACTTCCACATATTTCTCTTTATATGACTCTTCAACATGTCATATGGTTTGTACCACATTTGCAACCCTACTATCTTTCCCATCTTCTACCCAGTATTAAAATTGAAGGATTTTGGCCGTTCCGTGTTTCCCACAGTTCAGGCTGGCTACTCCAGAAATTATATTTCGGCTTACCAACCGTCGCAAAAAAATTTTTAATCAATTTGACCCACTTGAACCATCCATCCCTGAATCGTCCTTCGAATGGCCGTTACTTATCATTCCGAGCGTCTCTCAGTCTCTGGCCACCAACCATCGCCCAGCAAGAGTGTCGACGCTATATTCCTCCTAAGGTTACTTAAGAATCAAGATAAAAGTGATTTGATTCGCTATTGTATAAAATTATTAAAGTGATTCGTAAAGATATTGGTTGCCGTTGATAAATTCTAATCATTGAAATTTACAATACGTTTTCATCAACACTATTTCTTCCCTCCAAAATTCCTTCGCACCTTTGCCATCTGCACTTCCAGAGTCAACCGGAATGCTGCAATCTGCTTATCATTCTTACCAGCTGAACTTGTGATTCGAAGGAGGGCTTTTTTTTCAGATGCGAAAAACAATGAAAGAGCCATTTTTCGTATTTGTGGAAGGGAAACCGGAAAAAACACACACATCTGAACTGATTGACAGTTATCACGATATAGCGGAGAAGTTGTTTTCATCAATACGATTCTATCAGGCAAAAAGAGATGCCTTCCCGAAAGCAGTTTCTCTCCCCGATAATCCAGCAGTACTTGTTTTCAAAGACAACGATTATTTAACATATACAAATGAAGGAGATGACTTCACAGGTGTGTACAGTTACTTTTCCAACACTCATAATTGTAGGAAAAATCACAAAAGAATTGTACTCGTGGTTCCTTGCATAACAGCACCG